TTACTCTGCCAGCACCAGGATGGGGTCTAACAAACGAAAACTAATTGTGTTTTATTCCTTAATTTGGCTTGATTTGGTCTCTATTCCCAAGCTATGGCAACCTAGGCCTTCTAACTTCTCACTCACTGGTAACCCGGGCCTTCTTATTTACAGGCAACTCAGGCCTTCTCACTCACTAGTAACTCAGGCCTTCTCACTCACTGGTAACCCGGGCCTTCTTATTTACAGGCAACTCAGGCCTTCTCACTCACTAGTAACTCAGGCCTTCTCACTCACTAGTAACCCAGGCCTTCTCACTCACTGGGAAATTGTGTTTGACTTTTTTTTTACTTACCCCTTTTTGCCATTTGAATGGATTATGGATTAAATAGCCTATAATTATAACTTACAAATGATGAGGCAAAGCTCAAATCTGAACAATTAATATATTTATGTAACATGCCACAGGCTACTTTCATAAAACAAAAGACTAAAAAAAATTCAAGTGGCAATGCCAGAAAAAGTACAGTACATGTGGTATCTTTTGCTATGCCAGATATTCAGCAAACGCAAATAGCAGAAAATTGAATTTAAAAATTATGTCCACATCAAGTTGCAACAGTGGTAACTATTCAGTTCATATAATTCACTAACAAAAGGAAAATGTAGAGTAAATGAGGGAAATCATATTTGAAGGCAGGGACTTCCACACACATGTGATTCCAGAGTTAATTAAACAATTAACATCTCATTATGCTTAAGGTCATGTAGAAAATTTTGGGCGGGCCTGTGATTTTGGGCACCATGATTAGAAGCAGAGATCTAACTCAGAAAGAGAGATTTTAGCCAGGAATGTATTACTGTAAATCAGTGTTTCTCAACTCGGTCCTCAAAGATCCCCAGGCGGTCACATTTTTGCTCCCTCTTAGCTCCTGGTAGCAAAAATGTCTGAGCGTCCTCAGGGACCGGGTTGAGAAACAGTGCTTTACAATACTTGAATGTTGTAAAGAACAGCAAATAAAGTGATGCTGTAATACAAATCAGAGAGGAAACTTGTCATTAACTAGGGTAACTATGAAGAACAGTGCATATAACATACAAGCATAAACATACAAGAACCTTCAGATAAGCTGAATGTCAACTGAACACACACATGCTTAATGTATCTGAGAAAATTCCAAGTAGGCTACAACCTGAAAAGATGGAATATTAACCTGAAACAAGCTGAAAGATACCTGTACTTCTGTACCACAGCAATAAGGCAAGCAAACCTTTGGAGCACATGCAAGAACAACAACACGAGCCTGGAGATTCATTCATTCATTTACCAGGAACAGAAAAAACAACAGGCAGACAGTACTATGAAAAAAATCGTTGGCTGTTAAACAAAATGTTTCAAGTTTTTTTTTTCATAAACATTGCTCATAAAATCATTGCTTCTAAAAACCACATAATTTAACAGAATATTTGTTAACAAGCAAATTGAACTATTGAAGACAATAAAACGATGTCCTGTTGGGTGGCTAGAAGAGTACAGCTTTGGTTCCCCCCCCCCTCACGGGGGCATCCCGGTCATTCCATGTATTTCTCAAATTTAACCCTCAACTCACTTTATCTGTTGAATACCTTGAGATATTAAACCATGACATGCTAGTCAACAAATGGCCAAACAGAGTAGTGTGTGTTAGTGGTTGACGGTTAGTGCAAATACTGGGGTTATTTTAGGTGAAGTTTTGAAATGGCTAACACACCCTGGCATAAAACCATAGTTTAACACCAACATGAAGATAATTTCAACAGTTTTCTTTGACAGCATGCTGTATATTTAACGAGACAGGCTGAATACTAGTTGGACAGTATTGTTCTGAATGATTGTCAGTGGTTTATAAGTGTGGACATGCAGTAGTTAAGGCCATAGCCTGATGGCGGGGGTTGGGTAAAAAGGCAGACATCTCATGTAATTCTGGGAGAATGTCAACTATAACTATAAAACAATTTGGTTATCTGGGAGTTTTTTAGCACTGAGATTGTGCAAAAGGTTCCAGGGCTCAAAAAAGGACATAGCTTTTAGCTGAAGCCTATTATTCAATCGAACACTTCCACTGACAACCTGTCATTTGGAAAGGCAGCTGTCAAAATGTGACAAGGGCAATGGCAGTGCAAAAAGCCATAAGGTTCCGTAATGGCTTGTGAGTATTAGGATGTGGCAGAGAGAAAGCAAACCAAAACACTGTGCGAGACGTCCATGTGAGTCAAAAGATGTCCACAGTGCAGAATGGCACTGAGAGAAATGTCTAGACAGATGCAATCTGGGAAAATAGAGGCCACATGTCAGAGAGACTAGAGGGCTCGTGTCAGAGACTAGACTGGCTCAGGACAAGTTAATTTCTGAAAAAGCCAACTGTGGACATTTAGCCCATGGGTTCTGAAGAGGAGAAATGTGCAGTGTACAGCAACGTCTTGGTGGAACATTCTGAGTGAATGAAGCCTGTAAGATTGAGTTCTTTTGTAGGGAATGGGCTACAAGACAAACATAATACTTTTAGAGAAAGCACTGAAGAGTAGATGATGAATTCCAGGTGTGGACTAGGTATAAGCATGAGAGGTATATATTTTGATAAGAATTAATGTGTAAGAAAAACCATTTTTTAATGTAATATTGAAAAATCATATAAACATTAGGTGCGAATTGACCCATGGCTAAATCTCCCAGACTTTGGGGTTATGGTTTTGAATCTGGCCACAGCTCTGAAACTTGATGCTTGTTCTGTGCTGTGAGGTCTTCTCACAGGTCTTTGCATCCCTCATGCTGGATTGTGTGAGTGGATTCCTGGTTAGATCACTGCAACTCTGAGTGAATTATCATTCAATATATGAATGGATATTGAACTGCCTGGTTATTAATTAAGATTTTTAATGGATAAATGTGGGCATGGATCGTGATAAAATCTGCCTATAGTCAGTGTTGGGGAAAGTTACTTTTAAATGTAATATATTACAATACTGAGTTACTCCCCCCAAAAAGTAACTAATTGCATTACTTAGTTACTTTTTATGGAAAGTAATGCGTTATATTACTTTTGAGTTACTTTTGCGTTACTTATTTCTTACCTGGCTAAAGCTTTTTGTTGTTCAGGCCTTAGAATTATTTTTTTGACTAAGAAATTCAGCATTCAACAACAGCCTTTATAACCTCACCTGGGTGTCACTACAAAGAGCAAGTTGAGGGAGGTGTAAAAAGAATTAATAAAAGAATGTAAGTGTAAATTATTATTATTATTTCATTTTCTTTTAAAAACACATATATAGAATAATAATATAGAATTATATAATATTCTCAGAACTTTCAGAGCTATGCATGCCATTTA